TTCTCTCTCTCTCTCTCTCTCTCTCTCTCTCGATCCCTTAGGGACGGGTAGGGGATTATTTTAGTACGTCTTGGCCACTGCCATCACCGCACCATCGTCGTTGTTGTTACCAGTCGCCATGTTTACGCGGAAGTTTCAGAGCACCATTCTGAACGCGGAGGGCCACAACGTGCCAAAGGAGGAGGTGCCACATGAGCCACAAAAAATGACGTTTTGGCACTCCTACATTGATCCCCTTCATAGCAAAGAGGAGCGTCCTGTAGTTGACGTCTCTGCCCCGTACAACCCACTAGATGAGACACATCAGGTGCTGAAATTAGGTGTGCAAAAACTTCCATACGGCTTCCTTTCCATGAACGCCTTCAGTGGCATAAAAGAGGAGGTGCCGTACACGGGCTCGATGCACACATGCGAATGCGTGAAGTGGTGGATGGGAGGTATCAACATTTGGTATATTAACTGGTTTCTGGCCCGTTCGTCAAACTCGTTTGGGGCTGTGGGTAATCCACGGACAAAGTTTGCGTGGAACATGGCGTTATTGCTTGGAGTGCTGCGAACCAACATCGCCGGTTTGATTGGGATTGGGGGCTACTTCTACTCATATGAGTGGCTCTATACGTATGGACCATGGCCCTTCCGCATTAGTGATCCGAGTTTGAACGGCTGGAAGAGAGCGTGGGATGAGGGTCAGGGGTGCTACATGTCTCGCACCGCCGCAAGCATCTTCCCCCCATTAGGTTACGCCTTCTTCATGGGGCGTTGGAAAAAGGCAAGCTTCTGGTTTGTAGTGACGCTGCTGGGGGGTCTGCAGTACGAGTACGCGCGACAGTACATCATCGCGGGTAACCGCCTCTTTTACAGCTTCCAGGCGAACAAGGAGCTCAACCGCCAAGCCAACTGGGGATCACTAATGCCTGTCTTGGCTCACCGCGTAGACCCCGGCACCAATCGCAACGGTAGCGTCGCGCAGTTTCGCTACTTTCGCATCACCAGCGGCACAATGCAAGATACCATATGGGAGAATGCGGTCCATGAGAACCTGCCGCTGTATCGCTACGCCTTGCGGCTACCAAATCCCTGCTTTAACTGGCAGAAGGCACCGCAGACGGACAACGACAAGCCGTACGCAAGTAAAAATGACTTATGGGAAATGCCACAGGTTCTCAACGCACAGATGTGTTTGCCAACCGTGGACCAACCCTCCGCCAGTTCTATGGTGTAAACAAGGGTGAGTATACCGAGCAAGCGGTGAAGGATTAAGCAAGCAAAGAGAAGTCTCTGTGCGTGATCGATTGTATTTTTTTTTTTCATTTGCTTGCTTGTTTGCTTTTTTTTTTTTTCTTTGTGCTTTGTTTGCTTGCCGTTTTTTTTTTTTGTTTCGTTGGCATCTATGCGAGATGAAACTAACGTAGCGCTAAGGGAGAGACTATCTGTCAGGTCTGTTTGGGCACTGTGTCTGTCCAGGCTGGCATTGCATATATATATATATATATATATATGGGGCTTTAGCAGTTGATGGTGTTAGTAGTAGTGGGGTACTAGTAGTAGATAGGCAACATCAGGAAATAGAAGGAGAGGGATGAACTCAGGCGGGTGTGGGCTGAGGGGAGGGGAAGTGTAACGCGGGGGGAGGGCAAACTTTTTTGTTTTGTTTTGTTTTTATCCTTCATTTTTGAAAACGAGAGAAACAAAAAAAAAGAAACGTATTTTTTGGGAGGGATGCGGGTGCGTGTGTGGGACGGGGAGGGGGGGAGGGGAGCGGCGGAACTTAGAAGAAGTGTTAGACACGATTAGTGGGGGATGGGAAAAACAGGCTGGAGTAAAACAAAAGAGAATTTCGAAACGAAGAGGCAGAGGAAGCGCGACCGCACATGCAGAAGACATGAGAGAGACAGAGAGTGAAGCTGCCTTGTGCACAGTAGGCATCGTCATCATCATCATTTAGTGGTCTCCGCCACGGTGGGGCGAGTGCGTGTGCGAGTGGCTCTGCACCAATGCATGCAGTGTGTATTGAATGAGTGGAGGGATTTTGTGCATGTCTCTGCGTGTGTGTGTGTGGGGGGGGGAGGGGGAGCTCACTTTATAGTCTTGATTTTGTATTTTCCATTTTGCTTTCTTTATGTGTTATTGTTTTCTTTCCCCCTCACACGATTTGCATTTTTTTTTCTTTTTGTTTGTGGTGGCGGTGGTGGTGGTGGTTGCGGTATTTTTCGCCGCGTCCCCCCTGCGGTATATATACAGGTGCGCACATGCATGCATATATAGCCATAGTTATATATTTCTTTATGTGTCTAAATGTGTGTGGGTGCCTGTAAGCAGATCATCTTGTAGTAGTGACGATTGGAGTTTTAGTAGTAGTGGGCTGGAGGGGCGTGAGAGAGACGACGAAGCGGCGGCAGGCGCACTGCAACCGTCTGTGTGCTACATGTGGTGAACATTATGCATGATTTTGCATTGTCGTTGCTTTCCCCTCCAGTTTCCATTCCTTCCACCTCTCCCCATTTACGTTCTTATTGTTTTTGTTTGTTTTTGTTTCTATGTGTGTGTGTTCGTGGCCACCACATCCCCGTCCCTTTTTTTTCTTTTCTTTATTTTGTGCCTCTTTTTTTTTTCGATTTAAATCTCTGCTGTGGGCGGGCGGGCGGGCGGGGTGTGAAGTGTCACGCGACGCGGAAGATGTGGTCCTGGCGGCTGCGTGTATTTCAGCATGCACCGGTGTATGTGTGTATCGGCGGCGGTGAAGGGGGGAAAAGAAGGGGGGGGGGGGAAACAGGGGTAGAGGAGACAGAGTAAAGGGGCGGGAGAGAAGGGGGGTGGGGGATGGGGAGGACGATACTCAGAATGCGACAACACACACAACGAAGCAGTGCGAAGGCTGCTTGCGTGGGCTTCCCTTTCAGTGGGTACAACCACCCATGTAACTGTCAGAGAGATAAGGCTGGCGAGTGGGTATGCTTGCCTGCTCTGCATCTCTTTCTGGTTTCAATTGCTCCTGTTGCGTCTCCTGTTATTTGTCTTTGCTCTTCCGCGATGGATTGTAGGTGGCGCGCGGACGAGTGTCTTTTTAGAGTTGGTAGGTGTTGTCTCAGGGGAGTCAACAACGGGACGGTGAAGCTACTGGACGCGTCCCTGAACTTTTTGAGCCACCTCCCAGACGGACTGCGGCGCCACTGCACCCATGCCAAGCACGGTGGCGAGGGAACGCAACAAGGCCGCGGTGCGGCGGCTTTTTGCACGGGATCATGTGCCATCGCCGGCACCGTGGAAGTGCCATACTGTGCACTGCGCCGACGGGACGCTGCCGCCGGGGATGCACTTGAGCAAACAGTGCGAGCTTGCACATGAGGTGGGGCGCGGGACTGCCGCCGCCGTAGCAGTTGCTGCAGCCGCAGCAACTTCATCCCCGCACAGCCGCGCAGTGGACTACGGCAACCCTTTTTGCTCTTGCTACTCCATGAATCGAAAGATCGCGCGTCACGAGTGGGCGACAAGCAGGGCGGAAAAGGGGAAACTACAGGGCGGCCCGCTTAATCCCCATAAAAGCGCTCGGGAGCGGCGGGCTGCGATAGAGCACGAGGAAGCGATACTCCGCTACGAGTTATCCATTCCGCGCCGGCGCGTTGCGGGTCATCTCCTGCACCTCACCGCGGCGCAGCTGAGCACTTCTCAGCCGATGCCGAGAGCCCGTACCATGGACCGCCTCGTGGAGCATAGAAAAGGCTGCTGGGTGCTTCACAACCCCTACCGACAGCAGCTGCTCCGCGGAGAGCCCGTCATGACTCGCATCATGCACGGGGAGTTCTACGAGCCCCAGCGCAATGAGCAAAACACAATAAATTTTTCACAAGCCAACAAGCGCCACGTTCAGGTGGCGAGCAGCATAAATCACGCCATGCATTCCAGTAGGAACACAAGGTGAAGTGGGGTGGGTGAAATACCATAGACGATGGGAGAGGGTGTGAGATGAACAAGATTATTGTTCTTTTTTTTTCTTCTGTTTTTCTCTCTTTTGCAGCTTTGCGGGACTCCACCTTGGACCTGAATACTTTCCGCGCATCACGCGGCTGTGCCAGGGCATCTCGGTTGGCGTCCACCCCGCAAAAACAAAAGCAAAAAGAAATAAAATACAATAAATAAACAAAAAAAACATTTATTTACTCTTTTTTTTTGTTGTATGTACTTCTTAGTCACTCTCTGGCTGCATGCTTTGCGCCGCATGGAGTCACTTTTTTTTTTTCCTTCTCCTACATGATTTGCCTCGCTGTCACCCTTGACTTACTTTTTCCCCCATCCTCTCCTTTTATATATATATATTCACGCTTCAGTGCTTTTTTTTTTTGGAACAACTTGGCTGTTGCCAGCGAAGGCTGTGAAGCGGACTTTCAGCTTCCACACAGGAAGCAGGGCACATATACAAATTAGTATATAACTATAATATATCTGTATATGCTTATACACATATACGATCCATGGATGTTTTAGTGAGTAGAAAACAAACGCGCGGTGAGCAGTTGGGTGCTTTTTATGGAGTAATGCCTGTATATGTCGTCTTTGTAAGTGTAGGTCGCGCGACGCTCCGGTCCGTCGCTGCCGTGCGGCTTGCTGGGTCTTACTCGCATCTGCTATTTGGAGAGGTGATCGCTTCCCATGCGGCGCTGAGTGGACGTGCGCAGGTGGAGGCGTTTTTGTTTCTATTGTCGCATGCCCCAGTTTCTTTACCGCACAAGTTGGTGTGGGCCACTCAGCTGCTTCCCAGACTTCTTGCCAAATGCGCGCCTGGAAATGTGGGAAGTACCACCACCGCCACCTCATGGTTAGCAAAGCAGTCCATTTTAACGCAAGTCAAAACGATTGGTATCCACGGCAGCGCAGTCTCTGCCCTCTCTTCCACCGCGGTTCAGCTTGGGTTTCAGGGCTGCGTTCTTCTGAAGCGGTCGTTGAAGGGCCGTGAGGTGGCATCGCAGCAGTTTTGCTACGACGCCGTGACAACCCTCGCATCGGGCGCTGCCTCGGTTGTGGGCGGCAGCTGCGGCGCCATCATTGGCGCGCTGATCCTTCCCGGCGTGGGGACGGCGTTGGGTGCCTTAGTTGGATCCCTCGGATGCAGTTTCGTGCCGTACGCTCTGCGCCGTGATGGACCGGAGGATCGTCGGGAACGGATGAGACAAGTTTCGGCAGAGTGCAACAATTTTGGAAAGACAATGGACGTCATTGAGGACGAGGAGGCCGACTGGCTGCTGCTCGTGGAATGCGAGGAAGACGCGAACGCCGCTTTCTTTGATCGCATGCTTGGCGATGACGCTGAGTGGCTGACAGAACTCTTCTTCGCTGCTGGTGATGACGGTGCGTCGTGCGGACTGCTGGAGGACACGCAGAGCGAGCTACAGCTGCTTAGCACCGTGACGGGCGACGACGACGACGAGGAGGAGTTTGTGGACTTCATGGACTTTGGTGCATCAAAAGAAGTGAAGGCCGCGTAGCTGATAAAAACCGAGGACGGCGGGAATGTGACGTTTTTTTTTTTTTTGTCTTTGTCCGTGTTTTCTCCCGCCCCCCAAAGGGCACGTAGACATGGAGGAGCGGGGGATGAAGAAAAACAGAGAATGTGGCAGGTTTGTCGGCAGTGGGGACTAAAAGACTAAGAAACACGTCACATACGTGACATGAACCCTGAAGCCTCATGCGGTTTTGCTCTTGTGCCGCACGGTGTACTGTGGGGGAAGTCTGCGTAAGAGTGACACCCCCCTCCCCTTCCAACACAGAGAGAGAGAGAGAGAGAGCGAGATATTAAGGAAGGAGTTGCGAAGAATAAAACCACAAAGAACCCCCACCAGGAAGAACAGAACGATAAGGGGGGGGGTGGAGGTATAGTGCGCTTGTATGCGGGGGAAGTACGAAGTTCCGTTTTTGGATGATTTGACCGCTGCAGCGGCGTGAAGAGGTTTATAGTTTTTATTTTCTTGCCCTTCTAGTGGTGTTTAGTGATAGTAGTCCGCGGCCGGGGTGGGTGGCATGCCAGTGTGCCACCATGCGTATGCGCTGGGTGAGTGAACGAGTGAGTAATGGAACAAAAGTGAGGGGCCCATCGTACGCGTTTTTATATGCACGTGTCTGTTTCCCTTGGGGAGGGGGGAGGTGCCGCTCTTATTAATGTTTCTATCCGTTGTACGGTAATACATGAAAATGCAAGCATTTTTTGTTTTCGTTTTTCCATTTATGCGTGTGGCATTCATGCATCCTCTTCTGTTTCCCCTTATGCCTTCGATTTTGTTGTTGTTGTTGTTTTTTTTCTTTTTTTTTCTTTTTCTCTCTTTATCTCCTTGGTTTTTGTCCTTCCCCCGACCCACATTTCTGCATATGTTTCAATCTCATTGATTGATCTCCTTTCCACCCCGTCCCCTACTTTGTGTACTTCCCCCTATTTTTTTTTTCTTGGCTTATTTCGGCACTGCCACGGCAGGGACCCGCGGGCGCGTGTGCGCCGTCTACGCAGGAAGAAGGAAACATAATACTTTTGCTTTGTCTCTACCAGAGCTCTATGTATATATGTATATCTGCCGAGTTGGTTCGCAGCGTCCCTGCCCCACCACCCTCCCCCCACTGCGGCCCCTCCAACGCGATGCAGCGGGAGGGGCCGCAGTGCATGCGACGTTTTTCCCCTTTTTGTGTTATGAACATTTTTGGTATTAATACATGTTTTTTTTTTCTGATTTGCTTTCTCTCCCTCT